TCATGAAGAGGAAAAAAAAATGATAATAGGCCCGGCCCCGGACCCGGTGGGTACCCGGGCCGGTCCCGGGCCCATCTATTCAGAACCGGCGCCCGGCCCGGGCTTGACCCGGCTCGAGTCCAACTCTAATCCAGACATATCTTTATAACATTTACCTTGACTTCCTTATCGAATGATTGATTTGCTACATCATCGAAAGATGTTTTTTGAAATAATTATAATAATGAAGCTATTATGCACAGTTTATCAAAATATTAAAATTAGTGGACCGAATTTAATTAACCACAATTAAAAGAATGAATTATTTTGTACAGTATATAATAAACTATAATTAAGTTTACTTTAAGGTTACTTTTATATAAACCACAATTAAAAGAATGAATTACTTTAAGGATGTAGCATTTGAAGCATACATCCTCTTCAGGCGTGGTCGCGTGGAGCTAGAGGGAGGTAAAATAATTTAGACAATGCAGACCTTTTTCGTGATTTTTTTCGTCTATGAGGAACATGCTTGTATCTCTCTCCACCACAGAACTTGTAGCTCTCAAGTGCCACATCATCCTTCCAGAACAACATACATCCTTCTGGGCACGCATAAATTTCTATACAAGGAAGCCCCAACTGAGACATTAATTGTTTCATTTTGTAATATGAATCAGGAAGATTATGGTCACGCGGTAACATTCCTCCAAATGACTGCAATAACCTAGACATGCAAGATTCAGGAAGACTGTATTCAGATTTAATGTTCATCAACTCTGTAACGGCGGATGGCTGAGAGTATCCCTCACAATCAGCATACAGAGGCTGATCAGCAGCTTTTAAAACATCTTGAAATCTTTCAGCTAAGTTTTCAATATGAGGAACATGAGAATTCGGATACTCATCCGCATCCGGCTGATAAAAGGTCGGATCTTCATCCACATCGGGTTGATACGAGGTCGAAGCTTCGGGAAGATCGTTAAATGGCTGTGGTGGGTTAAACTGAATCGTTGAAGCACCGTATACGTCATATGCCATTCTTTGATCCCACGTCATTTGATCATAGTCTCCCCATCCACTCATCTCGGTAGGGACGTTACGATATGAACCTACTGTTTGTGGTAAAAGTGATGGATCGAAAGGTTCGCCATGAGAAGTCCAATTATAATAATTGGCAACGAAACCTTTTTCGTACAAATCCCACACAACTTGGTCGACATCTTTAAATTGAAGATATTTACACTTTGTACATGGACATCTGATTTTATCGCCATCCATATAATTCTTCTGTTCTTGTGCAAATTTAATAAAATCTTCAACACCATTAAAAAATTCACTGCGTATTCCATAGTTATCGCGATGTTTTTTGTGCATCCAACTTCTGTTTTGTCTATACATTATGCCTGTATATATATTATAATCAAAATATTATATAAGTACATTAATATTATTAATTAACTAAAAGCAGTACATTATTTGTGGCATTAATAATTTGAATTAACCAACTTTTCAATCATGTAGAAACGCCCACTAAAATATTATTTAGAAACATTAAGCTGGCCGGAATTAATAATTTACTAATATAAAGTTCACTAAAATTAACTAACATTCAATTAAAATTACTAATCAACTAATAGTAATATGTTAATGGCATTAATCGTTTTAATTATTAACTAATTCGCAAAATTAGAATTTGTGCACCAAACACACTAAATTATTACGTTAATGGCATTTATTCACAATACTAAAATTATGAAAATCTAATAGTACACATTAAATAATTAACTAACATATAATACTAATTAAAGTTATTACGTTACGTTAATGACATTTATTCACAATACTAAAGTTAACTAATTTAACTTATTAATTAGTTAATTTCCATTTAACTAATATTGTTAAATATCATTAATTCACAATAATATATAATTCACACTTAACTAATAAAGTTTGAATCCTAACTTAAATCACTACAAATCCTAAATTATGCATTAACAATAATTAACTAATAAACAAATTAAATCTAATCATCATCATTGATCAATTAACTAATATTTAAATCTAACTAATATTATCAACTCAAATTCTAAACCCATTTCCTCAATGTTTTAACTTAATTAATTAGTTAATTAATTTACATTTAACTAATATTATTGTTAAATATTATCTCATTAATAATTCACAATAATAATTCACACTAAACTGAATAATAATAAAGTTTCAATCCTAGCTATATTATGCATCCCATTAACAATAATTGCTAATAAACAATAATTGGTGATAATAACCTAATAAGTTAGCTAACTTAATTAAATCACTACAAGTCACTAATTAATTAATCTATAATAAGTTAGCTAATACTTAAATCACTACACATCCTAAATTATGCATTAATAACAATAATTGCTAATAAACAAACCGACCTAATCATTGGTGATATAAACTCATTTCAATTAACTAATTAATATTTATATTTAAATTTAACTAATTAAATTACGTTAATAGTTTAATAATATATTGTTAATAATATGAAAATTAACATGACCTCACTAAGTTACGTTAATAGTTTAAATAAATGAACAACTAACCTCACTAATTAATTAAGTTAATAATTAATTTATTACACAATTAAAAGAAATTAGTTAAAATGACATACCTTATCTGCATTAACTGGGAAAATGATGAACTCACGGATTACATCATTCAATCTTTAAACCGATGCTACATCACTCGAATCTACGAATTTTTGAACTGATAATTGTTGTTCTTGCAATTGTAATGGACGATGGGGTTAGGTTATATAAAAAATTTATCACGGATTTGTCACGGATTTATCCGTGACAAACCTTTTTTCGTACTGTATTATTAAAGGTTAACGCTGGAAAATCAATAATTGAAGTTTGTCACGGATTTTGTCACGAATCCATCCGTGACAATTTTTTTTTGAAATTTGTCACGGATTTGTCACGGATCTGTCCGTGACAAATGTCCGGGAGCAAAAAAAGTATTCACCGGAGTAAAAAACCGGTCGCCGGAGTAAATTTGTCACGGACCAAATCCGTGACAATATTTTGTCACGGATTTTGTCACGGACCTATCCGTGACAACACATTTTCGTGATAAATCCCAATATTCCGTGACAAAGCCCGTGACAACTTTGTCACGAGCGTAATCCCTGACAAAAATCCGTGACAAGGAGCGAGTTTTTTTTGTAGTGTTACCATAATAGTTATCCTAATAATACACAATTAGGTTTGGCATCAAATTTATTCCTCTAGATAAATTCTGTGAGTCCACAAGGCAAACGTCCTTTTCCCTCATTGCCCACCCCATAATACCGTCATATCTCATTTCATACATTTTTCAGTTGTGCTAAAAGTTTACATATTGGCTTTACATTTATTTATTCTTTATTTATAGGTCTTCAAAGCTATGCTTTAAATCACTCGTTTTTTAGTTTACATATTAAAATTTTGTATACAAAATGTGTGCATGTAAAGTGTAGGAAGTAATTGCATCACTTTACATTAATTGCATTACTTTATAAAAAAAAATACGGAGTACATAGTTATGTGACCACCATGCATCAACTAATGATATTTTTAAAAGCTGCCTTAATGTTTACATTATATTTTCCCTTAAAAATTAAAAATAACAAAATCATGGACAAAAATGTGACTTAATAACTATTAGTAACTTTAATTGTAACTATCAAGTAAGCTTTGAACACACAATTATAATCATTAATAGTTACTAATAGGTTACATTTTTGTCTATCACTTTTCTAGAAGTAATAATAGTGGATTTTTTTCTTGAATAATCAAACCAAATGATCTGATGAATTATGACAATTTACATCACTACATTTTTCATGCAAAGTATATACTTCGCTTCTTACCAGAAGTCCTCTAACATCTTCTTTCCTGCAGTATTAGTGATCAATTTTCAGTTTTAAAATTTTAAATATTAAATGATACTCCGTATATGTATGTGCTTGTATAATACGTCTTAAATCAAAACTATCTTAAGTATAAAAAGGTACTCTTTAAGTTTTGAAATTAAAATGGAGAAAAAAAAAACAGAAAACTAATCTGAATAAGACTTAAATTATTGTCTTATGGTTGTTAACTTCTAATCTTATGTTTTCTTACAAAACAAGAATAATAATGAGCAGATAATTTAGTTGATTTCATTCATACAACGTGGTGAATATAGCTGATAAGCTAGCTTTGAATCACAAAACGTCATAAAATAATATGTTAAAAACTCTTAAAATAAAGGAAAATTCTCGAAATAGTATTAAAAACATTTAGAAATTTTAAAATAGGAGTCATTAATGTCATGTCCTGTCATTACTAGGTATTAAACATGATAATATTATCCACATTTGACTTTAATTACTCATATTAAGTGAATAAAAACACAATTTATTTCAAAATGTTAGAAAAGGAAAACTCATATAATTATTTTAAAGTTACTCAAAGATGCTTATTAAAAAGGTCAGCTTACCAAATAAGTATGTCAACAAAACATTATATAGTGATCTAAAAAATACTTACAAAAACTAATAACTAGCTTATAAACTAATCTAGAGTAGTAAAAAGTTTTGAAATTCCAAAATAGGAGTATCATGTTTTTTATTTCCTAAATAGAAGTAAATTTCTGCCAAGTTTGACATTACTAGGCTATTAAACATGGATTTTTTTTCCAAACTTGGCAGATTACTCATATTCAAGGAATAAAAAACATGATACTCCTATTTTGGAGTTTCAAAACGTTTTTGCTCCTATTTAGGGCAATTTTGAGCATGGACTTCTCACAAACACTTGTTTGTCATTCCTTATCAATGAGGAAAATGTATAGCTAAGGCTTAGTACTCTTACAAGTTAGAACCAACAAACAATGGGCATAACACACCCTTGCAGTTTGGTTTAAGTTCTTTCTTGGACCCTTGTATTTATATATTATCTCTTCCTTTCATTCTACACATTCTTCATTTTCTCCCCCTCTTCAATGCACTTAATAATAATAATAATAATAATAAAGTAACCTATAAATATAAGCACTCATAAATCATAATTCTATACACTGTAGATCTTAACCTCTCTAAGCCTCAAGACTGGAGTGTTTCCAATTTGGGCCTTTTTAGCTGTGTGAAATAATTTGGCAGCTCCTCCAAAGCCCGGATTCTTGAGTCTTTTTCAGCGCATTTCAAGGAAAATTACTTGGAAGAGAAAGGGAGAGAGAGGGGGGAAATTCAGTTTATTCTCCATCTTTCTTCTTGTCTGAAATTCTTTTTTCAGGAGCAGAGAGAATAATATCATGGAGTCTCAGGTTTTGGTCGCTCTTTGTCTATCAATGTTGGGTGGTCTAAGTACCTCTTTAGGTAAATAACTGTTGGAAGCAGTATTGATGTTTTTATTAGCTACATGATGACTTGATTCAAGAATGGCCTTTTTCAGTCGGTTTTAAATATATGTGCAAGCTTACTTCCTCTGAGTTGATAATTTGTTCTAATTTTGCCCCTTCTCCGTCTTCTCTTTGATTTTCAAATCCAAATGTTACTTTGCTTAAATAGTATGCGCATATGCGTTTACTTGTTTCTGGTGATTGCAGTAGCCATTAGTTGGCTAAAGCTCTCATTGAAGGTTTGCTTTCCAAACAAAACAGTTACTAACTTGTGGATAGTGGCTGAATAGGTGCTCTGTTCGTGATCATATGTGAGACCCCCAACTTGAAGATGCTTGGCCTATTGCAGGTGATTCTTGATTTTCTGTGTCTATGTTTCTATAACTAATTTTGTTTGCTTTGCTCAAGTGGTTGATCGAGTTTGTGAAAGGAGTAGAACCCGGTTCTATTTCTTTGAACTAAGCTAGGGTACAGGCATCCTATTCTTCAGTTTCTTCAACTACATCCTCCCACAAAACTGTCTGGCTGGTTTTGGGGCCTCGGGATGGGGTGCATTTTAATTTTCTAAAATCAATTCCCATTTAGTTGTCTCTTTTCTGCATTCTGAACCATTGTGAGTTTTTTGTATGAAATTATTTTTGACCTGGCAACCAGATACATATATTCTCAAATTAAATAAGCACATAAACCTAAGACAAAATCTAAACTCAGTAAAGACGAAGATAGAACCTAAAAATAAACACCAATGTGGTTCATTTTTGCCTGTAGAGTTTGCCTTATGCCATTATCTTTCTTCCTGTTATATTTCTTCCCTTTTCTTCTTTCTGTGGTTTCATTTCTTAATTAAACTGTGTACTTAACTTTTTCCTTTAATTCCATCATTTGCAATGGAGCCAAAAACTCATTATTTTTTGGCTTGAGAATATGATGGAATAAAGCAAATGGGCTCACTAAACTGTCTGCGCTTCTTTGTTATGAAGCAACCGTCAGTCCATGCAATTTTTGACGCGATTTTCATATGGGTCATCCGGAAACCGTCTCTCTGTACTTTAGTACAGGGGTAAGACTGCGTACATCCGAGCCCCCCTTACCCCACTATAGGTGGGAGCCTTTGCTGCACTGGGTTAATGATAATGATGATGACTCAACTTTTTCCTTTATGAGTTTTTCCCTGTTTGCTTAAATAGTAGTCACATAAATCACAACGCTCTTGTGGTTTAACTTATTGGAAATGGATATAAAACTTCAACATGAATTAATATGATGTACGTAATATTAGTACTTCATATATCATATTTTATAGTCCGTATTTCGTTTATACTATATTATACTCCCTATGTCCCGCTAAAATTGTCCCATCTTCCTTTTCGGTCCGTCCCACTAAGATTGTCCCATACCAAATTCAGTAAAATTTGTGTGGTTCTAAATCATTCTTACTTTATTCTCACTTTATCAATTCAATATCAACCATATAAACCCACTTTTCTTAATAACCCTATCACATTCTCATGTCCCAATGTCAGTGGGGTGAAGGTAGTAGTAAAATATTCTATACGATTACTTGTTGGCTTTGTTACCTAACTGTCTACTAGGTGACAAGGTGGTCTGCTGGTGTTGAGCCTCGCATAGCTGCTGTGACAACCATGAGCGCATTAAAAAATGATAATATGATGAATTTGTTGCTTAAAACTTTTAATGGCATTTCATATTGGATTGAGCATCTACTTGAAAGTCAACAATGTTGTAGTTTTTCCTCTGTGCAGGGTTTTGCTGCAGGTCTTATGCTGAGCATATCATTCTTTGACTTGGCCCATAATGCATTGAACTCCATTGGATTCTTAAGGGGAAATCTTTGGGTGAGCTATTATTTCATTTACCTTTTACCAATACTTTCTTTTTCTTAGAAGGACTGTCAAATATTGCCTCACAGTTCTTTGCAGGTGTTGCTTTCTTTGCTCTCATTTCAAGCTTCATCCCAGAACCTAGTCTTTCTCCCAGTTCAGAAGTTCAGAACAAAAAGGTTTTAGTACTCCTGTCTATATCTGCCAATGAGTTGGATTTTGATTCTTTAAACTGCTTCTCTTTGAGTCATGACTTCTTTTTGCAATATTTACTCTTAAAACTTGAATTTGTGCTTGAATATTTATAGCAGAAAGGTGGGGATGATGGTGGAAAAGATATCATGAAAAAACACCGCCGTCAAGTCCTCTTCAGTGGAATCGTTACAGCAATAGGTTTTTGTTACCTTTTTTTAAACCAATAAGAAACTCGATATTGTGTTGGATTCATGCACACTATTGTTGACAACGGGGTTTATATCCGAGTGGGATTACCTCTCTACTCCCAGGGGTAGCTGTAACTATTAAGGCTATGTATATCTCATCCTTCCCAAACCCTACTTCTAAATGGAATATACTGGGTATGCTTGTTAAGTTTGGTTCATTATAAGTCATTTAAGTGGTTGCCCATGTAGTCTATGTTCTTTCACGGGGTTAAGATTTATATGTTGTACCAAACTATCAACACTAAGTTTACTGACTAATGATGAAAATGCATGCTTTTATTTTTCAAACACTCCCTCATGCTCACATTAAGTGCTGTTTTTGCAGAAATTGCATAAATGAAGGAGTTATTAAATTGATAAAACTTGACAATATTATGTTTTGATAACGTTTAATTATCAATAAAGATTATATTTGTATAGGAATCTTAAAGAAGGGATAAAAATGTAAAAATAGCATTTAATACTGCCTTGGTTTTATAAAAAATCGACTTATAGCGTGAAACATTTTTTCCTCCAAAGCAATACTTATTGTGAGAAGGAAAAATTACTGTTGTAAGAGTAAATTACTTTAAAGTTCAAGATATAACATTCAAGTGGTAAAATACCTGCCCTTTCCCACCCATTGAAGTTCATAACCAAAAGAAATAACAAATGAGTTTTGAGTCCTGTTCTTTTGCTCTCTCAGGCATAAGCTTGCACAACTTTCCGGAGGGAATGGCTGTATTCCTTGGATCAATGAAGGTACCTATCTTAGTTCAGCACTTTGTGATTCAATTTAAGAACAATCTCACCCTACTTCAAGTGTACCTGATTATTTTCTATCCAGAATCTCATATAATGGTGCAGGTCTATTTATATAAAAAAATGAGTGAAAAAAGGCCTTAGTATTGTTTTAGGCAAATCATCATGTTTTATCACTCTATGTGCGTTGTGCAGGAATATAGTTTTAGTTCTGTGTTTGCATTTGGAAACAGATGTTTGGTAGTTACTTCTGACTATGTCTTCATGTAGTGTAATTTGGAAACTGCATTGCGATTGCATTTGCTGGATATAGTTTCTATTGTAAACTGTCTAGGGTAATCTGTAGCTATGACCCTGACCGCTCCAACTGACTGTGATTGATATCTTTTAAATGTATTTTCAGTTCTTTGCAAACGTAGAGGTGTTTTATTTTCATTCTTTTGTAGGGTCTTCGAGTTGGCATGAATTTGGCTTTTGCTATTGCACTGCACAACATTCCAGAGGTATGCATTTACAAAACAAAAATGTTTAATGTACACAAGTTGTACACAACTTGTACACAGTATATAAACCCTTTTTATTATTTTTTACCTATTGTCTCTCTCCTATCTCCCTGACTCTCTCATCTCTCTCTTTCTCTTCTCTGCGCCTTTGCTTCGTTCCATTCTTCCTCCTTTCTTATTTCTTCATTTTCAAACTTTTGAATTTCTACCATGTACACTTTGTGTACAACTCATGTACATAAAACATTTTTGTTTACAAACACTGCTTTAAGTACCAAGAGGTGAAAACAAGGAGAAATAACAATGTACCCAACCATAAAACTGATTAACTTTATATGTGTATAGGTAATAGCAGAAAGGGGAATTAAGTCAATTAACATCTTTAGATTCTCATTCACAGGGTGTTGCAGTTGCACTTCCAGTTTATTTTGCAACTCAGAGGTATTGATTCTCTATTTTAAAAAACAAGTGGCAGTAAAAGGGAAAGGTAGTTTGTTTGTACATATAAGATTCTTTCAGTTTTTCGATGTGTATTTTTATATTTCGCACTTCACAGTTTGACGGCCCTTACTGGATTCAAAATTATACCTCTAGATTTTTTAATCATTCTCTCACCTAAGTGACCTGGTGTAAGTTAAATTAGGGTTTCATGTTTTCTGAGTGGAGGTCAGATTAATATTGACATCTAAACCCTTGCTTATTTGCAAAAATAATATTATTGATCCTTAGAATATGGATTCCAAGTGAGATATTCTACACATGTGATGTAGAACTTGAAAGTGAGCATGCCCTTTAATAGCTTGTCGCTTCCTGTTTAGTTTCCCTGAGTCATCCTCGACTGATAAAGTACCAAGTATTTAGTAAACGTACTGAAGAACATTTTATTCGAATTGGATAATTTTAGAGTTCCTTTACTTTTTCTCTCTTACTGCCAATCAAAACCTTCCCCAGCAACTGTTGTCATCATGATTTGATCATCACCACCTTAATCTCAACTATGTTGGGGTTGGTGGTATGCAGTTTATACTTAATTAGTTGTAATTATCTAAAGTTGGTTAACACTTAACGTTGGTTAACACTTAACGTTGGTTAACACTTAACGTTGGTTAAAGCTGTAAATTCATGCAAAAAAGACAAAAAAAAAACATACTAGCAAAGTTTAAAACCAGATGTCTTTTAAGTTGCAACCTTCTATTGAAGGAATAATGAGGAAAAATGACATCTGTATTATTAGTAGAGTTTCTCCGGACAAAATATGACTACTTCTATTGTAGGAGTTACTGGACAAGAGTCACAGTAATGTATTTCAAAGTGACAAGTCACTCTTAGATGATGAATCACTGAGAACTAGTCACTGAATATGTCACTTCAAAAAAAATTAAAATAAATCATATTTTTGTGTTTTGAATTTAATGTAGTACGCACTTCGTAATATTCATGAAAATAGGCCGATAATGAGACGAACTTTTAAACTCATTCTTATCTTCACAAGATTATTCTAACAGCTTGGAAACTATAATGAGACTGATGAGTTGAGTTAGTTGCTATAGTCATGTCCCACTTATCACATTATTTTCCAATAATAATTATCTGAATTTATGCATTTGGTACAGTAAATGGAAAGCATTCAAGATTGCAACACTTTCTGGCTTGGCTGAGCCCCTGGGTGTTATAATTGTAGGTTCGTTCCTGCTCTGACCGAACTTGTATATCAAACAAATAATGCTCAAGATCGATTTTTATATTTTATATTTTTTATTTACCCCCCTGGGGGGATGAAGCAGCATTATGATTTCAACTTTATTTACACATTATTCAAAACCTAGCCTACATATTTCCAAGAAGCTTAAGTCCTGAAGTTTTGGAGGGCCTCCTTGGATCAGGTTCAATTCATTGTCCTCTTTGTTTCTGCTGTAAAAATTATTAATAACTCATAACTTAAACCACTAGCTAACTTGAGGCTGATGGTGCTTTTTGTGACTTTCCAGTTGGTGGGGTAATGGCTTTCCTAACCCTGCACGAAATGCTGCCGCTAGCATTTGACTATGCAGGCCAAAAGAATGCAGTCAAGGCCGTGTTCTTTGGTATGGCTTTCATGTCCGCTAGGTAGGTACCACACATATTCATGGAGTTTATTTCTTTCTCGGATTTGGAATAAAAAACGCCCCCACTGACTTGTGTGTTTCCCTTTCTGCTCATGGTAGCCTATATTTCCTTCAGACCAGCTTGCCGGAGGACGTAAGCTTGTGAGACAAATATTCTGATTAGATTGCAACTTGAAATATCAATCACCCTCGAGATTTGTTATTAAGTGGAAGCAAACAGAGTGAGCTGTTGAATGAAAAGAAACCGGATAAATTATGTTATTGTAAAATGAGGGATATATATGGCAAAATGCTTTGTGTCTTGCTATACATATTTATAGAAACACACATGCATACACTCATCACACAGTTGTGTAAAATTATGACAATTGATCCTCCTTGACATGTAAATTAAACAACACTAACAAGATTACAAGGCACCTAAGTTTCATTTCTTTTTACTTTATTTGTTTATTTTTTCTTTATTATTACACTTAATTGCAGAGGTAGGGGGAGGGGGCTGGCCCTGGCTCTCCCCAAATTTGAAAAATGTTTGTATTTTTAGTGTAAAACATTATCTGTTTTTTTGTGCTCCCCCCCCAACTTTGTAACTGGCTACACCCCAATGGCCCAACACTTGATGAATGTATATGCTCTCAATCCTCAGTTGAAAGATAAAAAACATATTTCCATGATAGGTGCTTGCATTAAGGTCAGATGTGAGACAGCTATTGTGGACTTGTTCACTTAGGCTCTGTTTGGTAGTCTTATTCTGCTTCTTAAGCTTATGAGCAGAGTTTTTAGCTTTTGATTTTACTTATTTGGATGAAATAGTTTATCTGGGGCTGGGGCAGATGCCTCCTAAAGAGTTTGCCGAACACCTTTTCCTTAAGAAAATTCAATACATTAGGTAACTCTGGACTCAATTACCCCTTGCTCTCCAATCCATTTTTTACCGTCCCACCAATGGATTCAATTCTTGCACATTCATCCTTACCAGTTGGTTCATGAGCCATTGACACTGGGATGCAATCTGGATCACGTTTCAGGACTTCTCTGGAATCACCACAATTAGCAACCACCTCAGTGGACCCCACAGACATGAGCATTCCCTCCAACTTCATCATCAACGTTACGGAAACAGTTTATTGGTAAATGAGCTCCTCCATTTTTCTTCGGACACATTCTCAATTTGATAATTGCTCAATTCCATTTCCAGAAAACAATGAAGCTTCTCACTGCAGTACTCTGCAACCTGAGAGCCTTTATGCCCATCATGGACTCCAAAAAGGGGACTTCAAAATCATCTCTAAGATGAGACAAATGGTGTTCAGGAAACTGAGGAATCACCACAAATACTTCGAAAATGCGTTAACTGTAGTAAGGGGTCAAAGACGGAAATGAAAAGGTGAGGGAAAATTATTCCTTGTGAATGGAAGTAGTGATGGATTCGGGCTGGGTCGGGCCCGGGCCCGGGCCTAGGCCCGGTCGGGCCGCCGGTTCAAGAAAAGTGGGCCCGGGACCGGCCCGCGGGTTGTACGGGTCCGGTTCGGGCCGGGCCACCCGCCCGGGTCACGGGTCGGGTCCGGTTCGGGCCGGGCCGGTTAATTTTTTTTTTTATAATTTATATTTTATAGTTTATAGTTTTATACGAGTATTAAAAACAAACTTCAATTGCATTTATTTGAAATGAAATAGGAACTACATTTGAAAATTAAAACAAATTTTAAGAGATAAACATTTTGAAAATTGTAATCAATCGGAACTTCCTGCACCTCCCGATTCTTTGGCTTTGTCACATGACTTCATATGCTTGATTGCCATCCCGAATCCGCCTGAAGCCCCCATTATACATTTTTTTTCGCACCATTTGCAAATTGCGTACCACATCCCGGTCTTCGGGTCCTTCTGCTTATCAAAATTATACCGTATAATGGCATTTTGATTTTCCATCTTAACTTCTTGGAGAAGAGAATATGAGAGTAGATATATAATATATTGGAGAATAAGAGAATTAGAGAGTAGAGAGATAAGAATAGGAAGAATTGGAGAAGAGATATGAAAAAATGTTTAAGATTAGGAGTATTTATAGGTTTTTTTTACCCCCCACCCCCCCCACGGCCCACCACCCAACCCCCCGGACCCCCCCGGACCCCCCCTTTACCCCACCCAACGGCTATATAGCCGTTTGGGTTGTCCCCAGCCCGTTTGGGCTAGTAGGAGCCCAAACCAATTTTTTTTTTTTTTAAAAAATTGATCGAACCGGACCCGGGCCCGGACCCGACCCGGCCGGGCCGGGTCACAAAAATGCTGAACCGAGCCCGCCCCGCCCCTTCCCACCGGTTCGGGCCCATACCCGGTCCCGGACCGCCCGACCGGGCCGGTCCCGGGCCCGCACAGTACCGGGCCGGGCCGGGTCACGGGCCGGGTGGCCCGAACCGAATCCATCACTAAATGGAAGTGAAGCAGCATTCAGATTAGAAGCTTGATTTTGGTTGAGAGATCCCGTCACATATAAGGAAAGAGAGGACGGACCCATGGAAGCCATTAATAAACACTTTAACTTAACTGATTTTGATGTTTAGAGAGATTCTGGAGAAGAGCTAATAAATCGAATCTACGGAAGTTTATGATAATGTATGCAGCAAGACAACTCTCAAGAGTAAAGGCCTATTGACTAGCACAAATATTTTCCAATTTTCTATTTCTGTTTTTCGTTCTCCAATTTTTCGTTTTCATTTTCTAGTTTTTCTATCTCCAATTTTCTGTTTTCTTTTTTTTTAGTTTTCCATTTTCAAATCTGAAAACCTGTTCATCAATTTTTTCACCCGGTTTTGTGACCGACCAGAAGACCGAAAGTACGGTCCCAGTCCGGAACCGAACCTAGAACAACCCAAACAGGGTACCAGGTCCCACGTATATGAAAGTCGGGACTGAAACTGGCTGGTCCTGGTCGATCTCAACGGTTAGTTTGACGAATTCTTTGTCCATTTCCATATTGATTGACAATTCAATGACTCTTTAAAACTCTTTACTTTAAATAATGATTTCAAAAAACCGAGATTTAACTGCCGCCTCATTGATCGGCCCAGATAAGGACCACCGGGTCGTTGACGGGACTGGCCTGGGACCGCCCGATTGTTGATCGGACCAAACACATACCGTTGGGTCATTGGTCGGGCATGATGGGGACCACCGGGTCGTTGATTGGACAGGACGGGGACCGCCGGGTGGTTGACAAAACAGGTCAGGTGTGTCGTGTCATTGACCAGGACGGACGGGGACCATCGAGTCATTGACCACATCGGATCAGACCGAGACTTCCCGGTTGTCAACTGGACCGAACAGGTACCGGCTGGTCGTGGTTCAGACCAGACAGGGACAGTCAGGAGATCGTCCGGACCGGACAAGGACTGCCGGGTTGTGGACCGGACCAGACAAGGGCCACCAGGTCATGGATTGAACCAGACAATGATCACAAGGTCGTGGACCGGACCGCATAGGGACCACCGAGTCATCGACCAAACTGGATCAGGATTGCCCGACCATCAACCAGACCAGCTGATAGGGACCATCGCGTACGGTCGTTGACCTGACCAAACTGGAACTAAGACTGGAGAGAGACTGGATCCAACATGAGTTGTACACAAAATGTACACAGAACCCCCTAGTTGCCTGTGTACACAAGCAATGTACATATTTTGTGTACATTTTGTGCACACCAATGGTTTGAGTACTTGACTCCTTTTCTTTTCATTTTCATTTCTCTAAACTTTTTGCAACTCCTTTGAAAATACTACGGAGTTTTTAATATGTAATGAATACCCAATTAAATTACCATTCTTAATTACAAAATGTTGTCAAATAGACTTATACACGGTTCCTCGAATCCGAATACATTAATGTCTTAAATTTGTTTACACGCATTGTTTACAAATATCAATGAATATCCAAAATAATTTAATTCCTTTTCAAGTTAAAATAATCTATTCGAACAGATAATTGTTTAGTTATTTCTTTAATTTCAAGTAGACACGATTCATTTAGATCTTAATTGTAATCAAAACAATTTTTACTGTTATCACTAACAAAAAATAGCAAGTGTACAATAGTGTCATTACGTGTCGTTTTACTTCATAACATCTATTTCCATTCAACTAATTTACCAAACAATTATTTCTAAATAGCCAACATAACTAGCAATCGATTGTCAAATAAGACCGATTTTTAAACCTTTTTTTCACATTCAAAAAAGAAAATGTGAAACCGGGTATTATTGAATCTTTAAAGCATTAATTAAACATTAAAAATGTTTTTTAAACCGGTATTTTTGGGAAGGGTTCTGTTACGCTTCTGAACCGGACTGCCTAGTTCAATTCCCGCCAAGACCATATCGATTATTGCTAGTCCGGTTTCCTATCAGCAATTTTACACAATTCCGATTCCAGTGTTGTCTCATAAATCTCAACCGGAACACACAACTACATACACGACCACTTAAAAAATGGACATCATATATATGCATGTTTGAGATAGTACATCCGTCCTTATATGCGTATGATTTGGAATTGATTTTCCTTGCCTTCTATTACATCGTGGAACATTTTATATACAAGGAGAGTACAGCCCTAGTCTAAGAGGCCATAGCCCATTAAGTACAAAATAATAATAATGATTAGAATCAATTACAATAGAGAGTCAAAGGCCCAAACGTGCCTAACACCCCCTCAAGTTGGAGCATGCGGATCATAAAAGCCCAACTTGCGAAGAAGATATAGAAATTGCCGCTTACCCAAAGCTTTGGTAAAGATATCAACCAGTTGATGAACGGTGGAAACATGTTGTGTAGTAATCAGTCCATCTTGGATGGCATCACGAACATAATAACAATCAACTTCAATGTGTTTCGTACGCTCATGAAATACAGGATTCTGGGCAATATGTAACGCGGGTTTAGTGTCACAAAACAAAGGCATAGCTTGAGGATGAGCAACACCGAGACTTAGGAGGAGACTTTTAAGCCATTTTAATTCCAACGTAAGAGCTGCCATGGAACGATATTCTGCCTCGGCAGATGATCAGGACACAGTGTGTTGTTTCTTGGTCTTCCAAGAGATAGGAGAATTACCAAGAAATACTAACCATCCAGTAAGAGAACAACGAGAGAGTGGACAGCTTGCCCAGTCAAAGTCACACCATCCACGCAAAGTTAAATCACAAGAGGAACGTAAGAGAATACCTTGGCCCGGAGTACCCTTCAAGTACCGGACAACCTGAAGGGCCGCATCCCAGTGCTGTTGGCACGTAGCTTGCATAAACTGAGAGAGAATGTGCACTGCGTAGGCCAAGTCAGGACGCGTAAAAGAAAGATAAATTAGGCGGCCAACAAGACGCCGATAGGACTCGAGATCCAGTAGTAGCGGACCGGTAGCCAAGGCTAATGTATGATGC